AAGGTCAAGTAATAGGAGTTGGAATCGCCAGTTGCCGGTCCACTTCCTGGTATCTTTATTTCTGTCTCCTCCATGAGTGGTATGTCACGGTCACGTCATACATGGCTCAGAGAATAGACTTTGAAACAGCTCTGCTTGTTACAAATCTCTCCATGGCCTCGCACCAAAATATATTAGTGACATGTTAGTCCCATATGAACCAGCCCGGACTCTGAGGAGCACAGGGACTGGACTCCTGCTGGGACTCTGAGGAGCACAGGGACTGGACTCCTGCTGGGACTCTGAGGAGCACAGGGACTGGACTCCTGCTGGGACTCTGAGGAGCACAGGGACTGGACTCCTGCTGGGACTCTGAGGAGCACAGGGACTGGACTCCTGCTGGGACTCTGAGGAGCACAGGGACTGGACTCCTGTTAGTGCCCAGAGTCAGGACTAAACATGGGGAGGCTGCTTTTCAGATTCATGCTGCTAAAATCTGGAACAATCTTCCTGAAGATGTGAGACAGGCCTCCTCTCTGACAATGTTTAAAACCAGGTTAAAGACAGTTCTGTTTAGCTGTGCATACAACTGAGGGATTTTATATTTTTATCTTTTTTTTAATGTACTGTGATTATTTATGATTTTAATGCTTTCTTGTTTTGTTCAGCACTTTGAGTTGCCTTGTGTATGAATTGTGCTATACAAATAAACTTGCCTTGCCTTGCCTTACATTTGTCGTCAGTTTTACGTGATTAGACCTTGCAATAAAGCATAAAAGACTGAAATAAATAACTGATATAATTTATTTTGCTATTTTGTTTAACGTTAGGGTCAACAAACATAGCATTTTAACCCTTCTTGTTTTCTCCTTGAAGAAAGCCAAATACATTTTTCCTTTTTTGATTTTTGATTTTACCCTTAGTTTTTTCATTATAGGCCTTTACCAAATGGTTGAGATGCAGTTTGTTGGTAAATGTGTCTAAAACCAAGTGAAAGAGATGCCCCAATGAGGTAGATTTTAGTTCCAAGCATGATTCAAGTAGATATATTGACTCAAAAAGTGATCCACCAAATGGTTGCGGAAACCATTAAAGAGTAAAGGTTAACCCATATGTACTTTAAGATGCTATACCCGATTAATTTTCTAATGAGTTCATAAAAATGCTTATTACTGCGTACAAGTTGTATTAAAATCCGTAATTTAATAGAAAACTTGAGCTCATTGATTCAGCTGTGTATGAATTCAGGCGTAAAAAGTGCTGAGTAGAGACTTAGCATGACGCCCGCTCTCCTCCAATCACAGAGCGAGGCTGCGTCCTCTAGCCTCTACAGCGCTGCTAAACACAGTAGCATGTTAGCATAAGTGGCTATAACTCCTCTGGCTGTAACTGCAGACACAGCAAAACAGCCCGAACCACACAACAGTGAAGAAGAGAAGAGGAACTAAAGCCACAACATGATCAAAGAAGAAACCAAGCCCTGAACAGAGCTAGCTTACATCGTATCCTCTGGAGAGACTGGTCTGAGGGAGAGACCTGCGGGACCGCCTCGGACTATCTACGCTCGGACTATCTACGCTTGGACTATCTGTGCTCGGACTATCTACGCTTGGACTATCTGTGCTCGGACTATCTACGCTCGGACTATCTGTGCTCGGACTATCTACGCTCGGACTATCTACGCTTGGACTATCTGTGCTCGGACTATCTACGCTCGGACTATCTGTGCTCGGACTATCTACGCTCGGACTATCTACGCTCGGACCATCTATGCTCGGACTATCTGTGCTCGGACTATCTACGCTCGGACTATCTACGCTCGGACTATCTACGCTCGGACTATCTACGCTCGGACTATCTGTGCTCGGACTATCTACGCTCGGACTATCTGTGCTCGGACTATCTACGCTCGGACTATCTACGCTCGGACTATCTACGCTCGGACTATCTACGCTTGGACTATCTGCGCTCGGACTATCTACGCTCGGACTATCTGTGCTCGGACTATCTGCGCTCGGACTATCTGCGCACGGACTATCTACGCTCGGACTATCTGTGCTCGGACTATCTATGCTCGGACTATCTACGCTCGGACTATCTACGCTCTGACTATCTACGCTCGGACTATCTGTGCTCGGACTATCTACGCTTGGACTATCTACGCTCGGACTATCTACGCTCGGACTATCTACGCTCGGACTATCTATGCTCGGACTATCTACGCTTGGACTATCTACGCTCGGACTATCTACGCTCTGACTATCTACGCTCGGACTATCTGTGCTCGGACTATCTACGCTTGGACTATCTACGCTCGGACTATCTACGCTCGGACTATCTACGCTCGGACTATCTACGCTCGGACTATCTGTGCTCGGACTATCTACGCTTGGACTATCTACGCTCGGACTATCTACGCTCGGACTATCTACGCTCGGACTATCTATGCTCGGACTATCTACGCTTGGACTATCTACGCTCGGACTATCTACGCTCTGACTATCTACGCTCGGACTATCTGTGCTCGGACTATCTACGCTTGGACTATCTACGCTCGGATCTATCTACGCTCGGACTATCTACGCTCGGACTATCTACGCTCGGACTATCTGTGCTCGGACTATCTACGCTTGGACTATCTACGCTCGGACTATCTACGCTCGGACTATCTACGCTTGGACTATCTACGCTCGGACTATCTACGCTCGGACTATCTACGCTTGGACTATCTACGCTCGGACTACATTTGGAGGTGAAACTAGCGGTAATCTTTCAGTTATATATTGTGTTAGCAGTGCGTTGCTTTTGTACCATTTCATCAGTGATTCTCGTACAGCTTACAAGAAGTTGCGCTCATGCTAATGTTAGCATATAAATCGCAAATAAAATAGGGAAATGAGAAGCCTGTGAGTGAGTTGGGGGCGGTGCTAAACATTCCAACCTTGCAGAAACGGGTATAGCCTCTCGTCAATCACCTCGCCATCATGAGGTCACCCACCCCCCCCATAGGACCCCATTCATTACACTGTATACTACAGCCGGAGCAAAGCCATTCAGTGCCTCCGGCACTGTTTTGTCAGTGTCTGGGCTTAATGTTTATTGACTTCTATTTAACCAGGAACGACAACAAACAACTCTATAGTTTATTTTTTAATGATAGCAGACATGTATCTGTCCAATAGAATTACAGGTTGTGGGTTTTTGCCTTGAGGAGTCCGTTCATGATGCAGAGTCAAATATTATAATTTACTGTATGTGTATATCCCTAAAATTAAAAGTCATGCCAAAGAGGGTTAATGTATGTTTGGTGTTAAACCCTTGAAACACCAAACTAAAAAATGAAACTAAAATCTGGAACAGTCAGATGTGAGACAGGCCTCCTCTCTGACAATGTTTAAAACCAGGTTAAAAACAGTTCTGTTTAGCTGTGCATACAACTGAGGGATTTTATATTTGTATCTTTCTTTTTAATGTTCTGTGATTATTTATGATTTTAATGCTTTCTTGTTTTGTTCAGCACTTTGAATTGCCTTGTGTATGAATTGTGCTATATAAATAAACTTGCCTTGCCTTGAAAAGCCTCTTACTAAAACATTTTCACACTGTAACTGGACTCATTTTGGTTCACTCAGGGTAAAAGGAAATCTGTATTTGTGGCCGTAAAAAAAAAAAAACAAACAAGTGAGCGTGTGTTTGCATAGTCATTTACATCAGTTAAGGCCAACGTAAGTTTTATAGGCGGCACAGTGGCATAGTGGTTAGCGCTTGTGGGATTCCCCCTTCATATGAGGCCTTCCTGCGTGGAGTTTGCATGTTCTACCCATGTCATAAGTTTCCCCTGAGAGATGTTGATGGTTAAAGACTTTGAAGCACCACGTGTGAGTTAGACGTCTCGCTTCTGTCATCACCGTGTGTCGAGTGAATGGAAACGACTGTTAAAACACAATCTTAAAGCGCTTTGTGTGACCTCGGTCTGTGAAATGTGCTATGTAAATAAAGATTACTTACACAAAAAGATAAGATAAACTGTATTTTCCTGAAGGGAAATTTGCTGTGCTGCACAGATCTGCGTGAAAGAATACTAATAAAAAGGCACATTAGAGTAATAAACGTGCTTTGATTAGTAACTTATTATGGCTTACTATTTGTACTGCATAGTTCAGACACAGCAACTCAAAGTGTTTTACAAAATGATTATAAAAAAAGAATAAAGAACACTGTCTTCATACTGTTCCAGCTGTGTTTAAAAAAATTAAAATTAAAAAACAGAAAAAAATCTTTTTTTTCCCCAAATGAACATGCATTACAGACATCATATTTCACTCCTTCTAATTTTTATCTGGTGGTACTTAGTAAGTAATGTTTATTTATACAGCGCTTTTTACAGACCAGGAGGCACATGTCAAACCTATTGTACATGTTTTTAGAGGTAGGACAAACCAGAGCACCCGGAGGAAACCTACGCAGACACGGGGAGAACATGCAAACTCCACTCAGAAAGGCCCTGTTCCGACCAGGATTCGAACCCAGGCCCTTCTTGCTGAGAGGCGAGAGTGCTGTCCATGGTGTGTGTGAACTTTGCCAACCATTGTATAGTATAGGATTGTATTATGAGGAATAAATAGACGGGTCAATATATGAAAAAAATCCCTCAAACCCCAAAAAAATTGATACAAAAGGTTTCTCAATTGTTTTTGGTACCTTTAGGCATGCTAAATAACATACTAAAAATCTAGTAGAATCTGACATCCGGAAAAAGGTAATTTTCAAGATGGCGTCCAAGATGGCCGCCAAGAGCGTAAAATCGCTATATCTCAATTACTATTCAACCTAGGAAGGTGGTTTTGGTGTCTAACCCTAGGTTTTAGGGGTCAAGGAATTCAAAAAAAGCAATTAAATTACCATGTCTAAGATAATTTCCGGCAAGGGATGCAGAGCCGGGAATCGGCCCCGGCAGGTTACGGCCACCAGCTTAATTTCCTATTATGTCAAGGCCCATAACATCGGAGTACAACATCGCAATGCAGGAGTTCACGAACCTGTCGTACTCGACATCTGAACAGCACAAAGACCTGACGGAGGCAAGGATGAAAAGGGATGCTACTGACCTGGAGGAGATCAGTGCAAAACTTGTTGCATGGTCACCTTTCTCGCCAGACTCTTCGTTAAGGAATGTTGTTACTGGTGTTGTGGCTGATGAAGGTGTGAACGTGCACGAATATAAGTCTGTTGGATGCAAAATCATGCAGAAAATGATTGGACAGCCTGCATTCACATTCTCGTTCCGTAGAAAGGATAAGGCCATAACCCTTGGACAAACATCAGCTATCAAGGTTGCTCCTGATCGAACCATTGATTCTGCACTCCTATTTCAACGTTTCCTGGTGGTCTCCCAAACTGGAGAGCTATCATTGGAGGAAGTTATGCGTTATGAGCTCAGTCCTTTCCCCCCTGCCCTCTTTGAAGCCAGAAACGTCTTCCGAAAGGCTGATAAGCCACAACTTGCACAGGCGATCTGTGATCATGCACAGGATGCAATCCAAGATTCTGTACCAGAAACAGAGTATCATGTCCTTGATGGGGGTTCCTTGCTGCACCGAATACCATGGAAAAATGGAGAAAGCTATGGTGACATAGCGCAGTCATATGCTGACTTTACCATCCGACATTATGGTTCAGCTACGACCGTTGTCTTTGATGGCTATGATGAAGGGCCATCCATTAAAGACAACACACATGAGAGAAGAGGACAAAATATTCATCCCATTGTCGGCTTCACAGCCGCAACAGAGTTCACAGGCAAGAAGGAGGAGTTCCTGTCAAGAGATGTCAATAAACAGAGACTGATCCAGATGATAAGTGATGAACTGAGAGAAAGGGATTGCACTGTGGTCAATGCACTCGGAGATGCTGATGTAGACATAGTAAAGGCAGCAGTGGAGGCATCTCGTCTACACACCACTACGCTGATTGGAGAAGATACAGATCTCCTTGTCTTGCTCCTTTACTATGCACAGGGAGACACTATGGCTCTTTATTTCAAATCAGACAGAACCAAACCTGATGGAAGTTTTAAAGTGTATGACATCAACCGTCTAAAAGACATCCTCGGACATGACCTGTGTTCTCAGTTGCTGTTCATCCATGCCATGACTGGTTGCGACACAACTTCTCGGATTTTCGGTGTTGGCAAAAAGAGTGCTTTCCAGAAGCTTGTAAAAGGAGACCCTGTCCTTCAGTCTTGTGCCAATGCTTTCACCATCCCAAACCAGACCACACAGATTATCGAAGACCTTGGGTGCCAAGTGATGTCTTTCCTCTTTGGTGGCAAGCACACAGATTCTCTTGAGACAATGCGATATAACATCTTCAGCAAGAAGGTTGTCTCTTCTTCGTCGTTTGTAACCCCGGAACGTCTGCCTCCAACTGAATCTGCTACCAAACTTCACTGTCGCAGAGTGTACTACCAGATCATGGTTTGGATGGGAATGCAGGAGGGTATGGATGCCATGAAGTGGGGGTGGAAGCTACTAGATAATCGGTTCGTCCCACTGATGTCAAGAATGAATGCTGCTCCAGACAGTCTCTTGCAGGTCATTCACTGTAACTGCTCTACTGCCTGCAAGACCCTCCGCTGCTCATGTAGAAGATATGGACTGCCATGTACTACTGTCTGTGGACCGTGCCAACTTGAAAAATGTGACAATCCACATAACAAGTTCCTTCCAGAGGAGTCAGATGATGAGGATGAACAGTGACTAAGTGTATACTGTATGAAAATGTCATCTAAAAAGGCATATTGTATATTATACTATTTTTTATATTATATTTCCAGTGTACAAAATTTACATTTACCATTATATTTTTTACTTATAACCGTTTGAGTAAATTGGCAGCCCTATTGGGACGCCATCTTGGATTTGTGAATAAATAATTAAATGCTGGTAATTTAATTGCTTTCTTTGAAGTCCTTGACCCCTAAAACCTAGGGTTAGACACCAAAACCACCTTCCTAGGTTGAATAGTAATTGAGATATAGCGATTTTACGCTCTTGGCGGCCATCTTGGACGCCATCTTGAAAATTACCTTTTTCCGGATGTCAGTTTATACTAGATTTTTAGTATGTTATTTAGCATACCTAATGGTACCAGAATCCATTGAGAAACCTTTTGTATCAATTTTTTTGGGGTTCAACGCCAATTTGATCCGTCTAAAATGTGGGTTTGCAGTTACACCATTTAGTCCAATAACATCAGATATTGTTTACTGTGATGAAAATAGCCCTAAAAAGTATGAGTGGAATGTTGTCTGTTCTGTCTGAGGGGCACACTGTCTGGCCTCCCTCTCTGTTTGGGTTTCTTATGCTTTTCCGAACCGACTCCAGCCAAGACAATATTTACACGGATGTTACTAACAACTCCAAGGAGAATAGTACTTGCACCAGTAGCAGCAGTAGAAGTAGTACGAAGTAGTAGTAGTAGTCATAGTAGTAGTAGTAGCAGTAGTAGTAGTAGTAGTAGGAGTAGTAGTAGTAGAAGGAGTAGTAGGAGTAGCAGTAGTAGTAATAGTAGTAGTAGTAGTAGCAGTAGTAGTAGTAGTAGTAGTAGTAGTAGTAGTAGTAGTAGGAGTAGCAGTAGCAGTAGCAGTAGCAATAGCAGTAGTAATAGCAGTAGCAGTAGTAGTAGTAGTAGTAATAGTAGTAGTAGTAATAGTAATAGTAGTAGTATTAGTAGTAGTAGGGGCTGAGTGGTTAGCACTCTCGCCTCGGTCCTGGGTTCAAATCCTTGTCGGACCAGGGCCTTTCTGAGTGGAGTTTGCATGTTCTCCCCATGTCTGCATAGGTTTCCTCCGGGTGCTCCGGTTTCCCCTACCACTAAAAACATGTACAATAGGTTTGGCATGCGCCTCCTGTTCTGGCCCCGCTCCATCTTTGTGAGGAGTGAGAGACAAATGAACAAAAATAACAATTGTAAACCGCTTTGTGACTCTGGTCTGTGAAAGACGGTATATAAATAAAGATTACTTACTTACTCACTAGTAGCAGTAGTAGCAGTAGTAGCAGTAGCAGTAGTAGTAGTAGTAGCAGTAGCAGTAGCAGTAGCAGTAGTAGTAGTAGCAGTAGTAGTAGCAGTAGCAGTAGTAGTAGTAGCAGTAGTAGTAGTAGTAGCAGTAGCAGTAGTAGTAGCAGTAGTAGTAGCAGTAGCAGTAGCAGTAGTAGTAGCAGTAGCAGTAGTAGCAGCAGTAGCAGCAGTAGCAGTAGTAGCAGTAGTAGCAGCAGTAGCAGTAGTAGCAGTAGTAGCCGTAGTAGCAGCAGTAGCAGTAGTAGCAGTAGTAGGAGTAGGAGTAGCAGTAGTAGCAGCAGTAGCAGTAGTAGCAGTAGTAGCAGTAGTAGTAGTATATAGACCCAGTACATGTGTGTTGGTAATGTATGGCCTTACTGTGGGTTTGAGTTATGCAGTGATGTCATAGTGTGGTACTTATGGGAAAGTACTGAAGTATAAATACCCCAAACGTTCCTTGTCGGAAAAACAAATATTACAGAAGTGAAGTTGAAGGACTACTTTATCGTGTCCTTGCAAAGCCTTTTGGGAAATGAACTTGTACAACTTGTTCGGCCCATATGCAGGTTGCTCTTGTACAATAGCGAGCAATGTGAAACTATGGGACTTTCCTGGGATTGCTATTCATTGGTGTGACGCAAAAATGACTAATAAGAACCAAAATCCATGTTATTATTGTGTTTTTTCCCCATAATTCATGCATTTGTCTTTATATTCAAGCCAAAATACACGTATACACACCTGCTTGTTTCCTGTCTTTGTTGATTATTTTGGTGTTGATGAAACATAGCACAATATAATTGATTGAGAGACCAGAGAGAAACACCAGAAAGAGAGACCAGAGAGAGAGACCAGAGAGAAACACCAGAAAGAGAGACCAGAGAGAGATACCAGAAAGAGAGACCAGAGAGAGAGACCAGAGAGAGAGACCAGAGAGAGAGGCCAGAGAGAGAGACCAGAGAGAGATACCAGAGAGAGAGACCAGAGAGAGATACCAGAAAGAGATACCAGAGAGAGAGACCAGAGAGAGATACCAGAGAGAGAGACCAGAGAGAGATACCAGAAAGAGAGACCAGAAAGAGAGACCAGAAAGAGAGACCAGAGAGAGAGACCAGAGAGAGAGACCAGAAAGAGAGACCAGAAAGAGAGACCAGAGAGAGAGACCAGAGAGAGACCAGAGAGAGAGACCAGAGAGAGAGACCAGAGAGAGAGACCAGAGAGAGAGACCAGAGAGAGAGGCCAGAGAGAGAGACCAGAGAGAGATACCAGAGAGAGAGGCCAGAGAGAGATACCAGAAAGAGATACCAGAGAGAGAGACCAGAGAGAGATACCAGAAAGAGAGACCAGAGAGAGATACCAGAAAGAGATACCAGAGAGAGAGACCTGAGAGAAAGACCAGAAAGAGAGACCAGAGAGAAACACCAGAAAGAGATACCAGAGATAGAGACCAAAGAGAGAGACCAGAGAGAGAGACCAGAAAGAGAGACCAGAGAGAGATACCAGAGAGAGAGACCAAAGAGAGAGATACCAGAAAGAGAGACCAGAGAGAGAGACCAGAGAGAGAGACCAGAGAGAGAGACCTGAGAGAAAGATCGGAGAGAGAGAGCAGAGAGAGGGACCAGAGAGAAAGACCAGCGAGAGACCAGAAAGAGGGACCAGAGAGAGAGACCAGAGAGAGATCAAAGAGCCTCTTTGACAAATGGACTAAAGACGTTACGTTTTAAGAAAGCTTCATTAACAGTTTGAACTGGTCATTTTATGAACAGAGTGAGACACATGTGTATTACTGTATGTTGCCTTTTATTGGTTTTAAAATGCTATATTGTACAAAAACAGTGTCTGATGGGAATGCAATGGATCAATAACTGCTTTTGAGTTTGCCTGGGACAGACAACAAAAATCATAACTGTATACGTATAATTATTCGTATTTTCTTATTCCTTTCTTATATTTTAAATTATTCAATATCACACACAAGTTATGGCACCAACAATAGAGATCTGTTGGCATGTAATTGTGATAACATTAACAACTCACAATCAAGGAGATTTAGTTTAGAGAAAAGGTTGTTGTAATGTGTATATATATGTTTTCCTTTAGCCTTGATGTCCTATAAACATTTTCAGCCTTTTCCCGTTGCATAACCTGTATGTGGTTTCTTTCATATCATATCAGAAGTTTTCCCAGACAGGAACTGAGCGGCAGATACTGAGAGAAGAACAAAACAAACTCCAATCCCAGTTGATCCCAGCCTTTTCAGCCCTGTGCTCTTCCAGTCTGAGCCAGGAAACTTCTCGGTGCTGTGTTTAGAATCAAAGACAGCACTGACTGGTTGTTTGGACTTGCACTTTTCATTACAGCATCGGCACTTGAATGTACTGGCTACTGCTTTAATTATGGCAGGTCGAGAATTCCCCACGGCACAGTGTTATTACAGGGCAACAATTCCTCTCTTGGTCTTTCATTTCAATGTCAATGATTTTGTATCCGTTGCATCTGATTTAGTAAACAATATTTCTATCTAAAATACATTTAAAACATCTCTGCTTTAAAAAGTTTTGGCTATGCTTTATTTGATAGGGACGGTGCGCAGTAACATTAAAGTAGCACGACGCAGTAACCCGGGTTCGATTCCTGGTAGAGCCTTTTTGTATTTAATTGCATGTTATCACATTCTATGACAGATTGCTCTAAAAACGGTAAAAGACGAAGGTCAAGATGTTTTTTTTGCAGATTATAGCTTAATTGTAAAAAGAATCATTTGAGACCACATGTACCCAATTAAAATAATGTTAGTCTCTTTTTGATGTGGGACTTATACATGTTTGACTAAAAAATAGGGAATAAATAAAATTTAAAGGTGATATCCTCTGGAGCAAACCTTGATGTTGATACGCTGAAGAAATACGTTCCAACATCCATTCTTCCCACTCCTATTTTGGACATCAATTGCTTATTTATTTTGGATAATCTATAATTACATTGCTTTTATTTTGTTTTATGTTTTTTATCTCAAATGTCCAAATAAAATAAAAAAATTCAACATTTATTCAACATTAGCATGCCTCATGGCAATATGAGAGACAGACAAACAACTGATAAAATAATTCCCTGTCTTTGCTGCTGGATTTGGTGTGTATCTGGCAACCTGAGTCAGGGAGAGTGGGAGAGGACTGCAGAACCACTTTTGGCCAGATTTTTACAATTGTTCCTTTAAGATATTGTTTTTATTTTTATTTTTTTATTTGACAGGGACAATGTAGTCATACATAGTTTGATTATGAAAAATGCAGCTGATGCGACACATGCAGAGTGTTGCTAATGCTAATGTTCAAGTCCTGTCCCTGATTGAGCTTTTCCCTACAGTGCAACACATTATACAGAATGAATAAAATCGGTCTAGCCCTAAAACACATATTTACAACAGTGATCTAACGCTTAAGACATTCCCCCCAACAATGACAGCCATACGGACAATACACATTCACAATCAAGAATACACACACACACACACACACACACGCACACGCCCACACACAATACAATATACTCAATACTATTATTTACAGGTTCAAAAGGACAGATAAAAGCCACAAAGCTAATTTCCATCTACACACCCTCTCACGATGATTACACGTACCTTTTTTAAGTTGCTCTTTACATTTAAGTTGCACGACTCCAAACAACAGCTGCAGTACGTT